GTAACTCGGGTCAGGGCTAACTCGGGTTCCTTTTTCGGGAATCCGAACCCGAGTTACCCCGGACCCGAGTTACCCCGGATAACTCGGGCGCCCAAACCGTTGCGACGTCGGAGGGGAGGGAACGGTGCCGGCGATGCCCATCCATGGCTGGATTCGCCTCGGGATCCTGGTCAGGACGCGCCCGCCCTGTCATCGGTTTATGTCGCACCGCCGACCTTTTGGGGTCTTGGATGCTTTGCTTCGGGAGTGAGTCGTCGCAGCAGTTGCAGTGCCGAGTGCGACTGGGACATGTTTGAAGCTTCCCGGGAGATGTCTGAGGCCTCCTGGGAGATTATTGGGGGAATCTTGCGGGTTTGGGTGGCCATCTTGGAGGGGGTCCTGGAGCCGCTCGAATTTCTCATTTTGGGTTTCTTTCGGTGCCGCCTCGGAGGCGTCTTGGGGGATTCTCGGGCCGTCTTGTGCGTGTTCCTTCTTTCTCCACTTGGGCCTGATGTTCCGGTGTGGCGCAGATGCGAGTTGTGCCATTCCAGAGTGCGACGGCGGCCAAGAGGGGGGTGATGACTCGTGGGTGGTGGATATCATGGCCAGGGCCATGGTATCTTCCCGGATGTCATGCCCCCTCCCCCCTCTTCTTTTATCACTACGTCCTTTGGTCCCTTCTTCGTCCGCGCACATGCCTCAGGCCATGGTTCGCGAACCCCCCACTTGAACAGCCCCCTCCTGGATACCCCCCGAAAACAGCAATCCTCTTCCCAAAATAGCAATCCTCTTCCCCTCCTCCTTCTCCTTCTCCTCTTCCTCCTCCTCCTCCTCCTCCTCCTCCTCCTCCTCATGATTCCTAATCATGCGTCGCGTATCCCCACCAGCCCATTCGGAAACCCTGCAGAGCTGACGGGAAAAGGAACGACGAGACACATATAGTGAAACAGCGCAAAGAGAAAGATCTCTGGGAGCAAGGGGATGGCCTTGGAGGGCATCCCTGGGGCCCGCGTGAGGGCGAGGGAAGGAGGAGGAGGAGAAGGAGGAGGAGGAGGAGGAGGAGAAGGAGGAGGGGGAGGAGCAGGATGGCCACGACGACGAGGACGAAGAGGAAACGGAACAGGAAGACGATGAGGGCAAGGACGAGGACGAGGAGGAGGACAACGAGGACGAGGACAGAGCCCTCACAATCGCCACATGGAGCCCTGTTGGGACTCTGTTGGGGGATCTTGGGGTCCTCTTGGAGCTCTTTTGGGGCTCCTGGGGCCCTCTTGGGGGCCTTTTGGAGTCCCCTTTGGGGTCCCTCGGGAGCCATGGAGGGCTTCTTAGGGCCATCTTGGAGGCCATCGATCAAAACGGCAGGATCACAAATCTGTCCCCCCCCCCCCCTGGGGCCATTCAAATCGCCTCTTGGGGCCCTCTTGGGGTGCTCTTGGGCCCCTCTTGGGCCTCCCTTGGGCCATCTTGGGGCCATCTTGAGGTTTCAAAAGCGCATCGGAAACGAAGAGGCGAGAAGTCAAACATCATTGATGATCCTATGGTTTTTGAATGATTCTGGCCCCTTGGGGGGTCCTGAGGGGGCTCCGAGAGCATTTGGAGCCGTCTTTGGCTCTCGTCGGGCCTCTTTAGAGGTATGTCGGAAGCCTATCTTGAACAATCGTCGGTTATTTTGAGCCATCTTGGAGGCCATTGTAGAGCATAGGAGGCAGTTTGGAGCCATCTTGGGCGAAAAACAGAACCTGCCACCTCGCAACCCCCAACACCGTTATCCTGGCGAAGGACCCAACCATATGCAGTTGCGAGTGCCGTCGTTGCTGGTATCGCCTTCGGGGGATCTCCTTATGGAGCCATGGATCCTGCGACGGGCGTACAGATATGGGTCGGGGCCGCCATGTGGGCGCTGCCACTGGGGCTTTACGTGGAACCCACTGTGGGACCGCGAAACGTGTGAGGGATGCTCCGTAATGGGCCGGGGCAGCCACTGGGGCCTTCGGCGGAGCTCCCTAGGGGCCACACTGGGTGGGGGAACCGCATGCGAGCGCAGCCACTTGTTGGGCCTTCGGTGGAGCTCCCTATGGGGCCACGAAACGCTGTACTGGGTGGGGGAGACGCATGCGAACACTGCCACGGGGGCCTTCGGTGGAGCCCCCTGTGGGGCCACGAAACGCTGTACTGCGTGGGGGTCCCGAATGTGAGTGCAGCCACTGGTGCTTTCAATGGAGCTCCCCATGGGTCCACGAAGCGCTGTACTGGGTGGGGGTCCCGCATGCGAGTGCAGCCACTGGGGCCCTCGGAGGAGCTCTCTATGGGGCCACGAAGCGCGTCTGTAAGCAGCAGTGTGGACGTGGGGTCGTTGGTGGCCCGCATGCGGCGCAACCGCTGGGGCCTTCGGTGGAGCTCCCACTATGGGGCAGCGGAGCGCATGTACCCCTTCCTCCTTGTCGCCTCCTCCTTCTTCTCCTTCTCTTTCTCTCTTCCTCCTCCTTCCTCCTCCTCCATCCTTCCTCCTCCTCCTCCATCCTCCTCCTGTTCCTCCTACCTCCTCATTCCTCGCTCCCTTTCTCTCTCCTCCTTCTCTCCTCCTCCTCCTCCTCCTCTCCTGCCTCCTCCTCCTCCTCTTTCCTCCTCCTCCTTCCCTCCTCATCTCTACCTTCTGCTCCTTACTCCTTTCCTTACCTCCTCATCCTTTTAGTCCTGCCTCTCTTCTCCTCATTGTTCATACTCCTCCCTCCTCCTTCATTTCTTCCTCCTCCTCCTTCCTCCTCCTTCCTCCTCCTCCTCATCCTCCTCCCTCTCATACCCATGGTAGTGGTGGTGGTGGTGGAAAACCGGCCCACCATTCTGGCAGGCGCTAACGTGTATCATCGCCTGTTGAGAGGTGCCGAGACGAGTTGTGTTTGGCAATTGCCAGTTTCTAGGGGCCCTTGCCTGGCCCCTGGGCAGTCAAGTAACAGCAGCGGGAGGAGAGAAGGGGGTCGAGATCTTTGGGTGACCACCTTGACATCATGACGTCGTGGGTCTGGGCTGAGGAGGAGGAGGAGGAGGAGGAGGAGGAGGAGGAGGAGGAGGAGGAGGAGGAGGAGGCGGAGGAGGCGGAGGAGGAGGAGGTCTCCATGGGGCGGCGCTAAGGGGCGAAGGTGAACTTGCAGCATGCAGCATGTGATGCGCGATGCGCGATGCGCGCGATGCGCGACGGCTGCGGCCACGGCAAAGGTCGGCACCGCAATTTACGCGGGATTGGCCGCGGCGTCACGGAGTGTCAAGTTCAAGAGGAGGGCAGAACACCATAAATATAAGATATCATTTCGGGTTCGCCGAGAAGCTCGGAGGCGGGGCGCTGCATTCCGCTGTCCAAGTTTCTGGGTTTCTGGAGTTCTGTTCCAGCCCGAAACAAGTTCGAGAAGGAGGACGCGTTCCTCCTGGTTTCTCCTTCTGTTCTCCTCCTCCTCCTCCTCCTCCTCCTCCTCCTCCTCCTCCTCCTCCTCCTCCTCCTGTTCCTCGGAGCTGGACCATTAGAAAACGGCCCGAGACGAGCAGCTCATAGTTCCCAGGAGGAGGTCGTGACGTCGGATGTCCAGGGGAAGCGTGGAAGGGGTGGATCGCGCCGGGGGGGAGAGGAGTGGGCCGACGGCTGGATCGCGATGGGGGGCGGGTTCGGCGTGCGCGGAGGGGGCGGGGGGCGGATCAGGCTGTCGGACAGGGTGGCATCAGTCCGCCACCATCGGAGGTTGCCACACGGGTAGGGTTCGCTGCACGTGTTCGGTTTCGCGAGTGCGGCCCAGCTCCGAGATCTATAGAACCGCAATATGAAGTTGCACTGGCGCCGTTCCCCTTCGTGTGCGGGGCGAGCATTCTTGAAACGGACCTTGTCGCAGCTCCCGACCTCAAAGGATCAGGGGCAACGATAGGGGGGATAGGCATAGGGGGGATGCATCGAGCCCCAATCACCCACTGATCGCAGGTAGGGCTCTGATAGCCCCACCCCGCCCAGGAAGCTTCAGACTTGCTCTCGGGGCCCTATCGCCGATCTATCGGCGATGTGCCGCCGATCCCAGGTCGATGTGTCCCCCTCCATGCCAGTCCCCCCTATCGTTGCCCCTCAGCTGAGGGCACGGGAATGCTTTCTGGGCCTGTCTTGGAGCAACCGCGAGAGCCCTGCCGGCAGGACTCGCCGGGCAAGGCCCGCATCATCCGCAGGGCGCTCGAGGTGATGCCGGGCTCCGCGCGGCTGTGGCGGGAGGCCGCTGGGCTCGAGGCCGACCCGGAGGCGCGAAGGGCGCTGCTGGCGAAGGCGGTGGCGAGCGCCCCTCACGGCGTCGAGCTGTGGCTCGCGCTGGCCAGGCTCTCGAGCTTCAAGGAGGCGCAGCGCGCCCTCGCCGCCGCCCGCAAGCAGGTGCCCGCCAGCGTGACCCTGTGGGCGGCGGCCGCGCGGCTGGAGGAGGCTCAGGAGGGAACAAAAACACACAGACACAATTAATCGTCGATTCTCCAGAAAATATGGAAACATATGGGAAGTGGGGGGGAAGACAAAAGCCCAGAAAATATGAAAAAATATGGGGAATCTTTTTTTTATGTGTATCTATTTGTGTGTCCCGGGGTCCCTTCCGAGGCGCACGGCAACGTCAAGCTCGTGGAGCCCATCATCGAGCGCGCGGCGGGGGCGGTGCCGCAGGACCGCGAGGCTCGGGGAGCAGACATCGGGGGCGGACAGAACCCCCGACAGTGACACGTCGATTAGTGAATTGTGCGTTTTCGGTTCTCGAGAGGGCGCCGCGGCCGTTGTCTTCCAGGCTTGCGCCCGCCAGGTTTGGGCCTCAGGTCGTTTTCACTAAACCGCGTTTTGCTAAAGGGAGGTCTGTCCATCCCCGAGAAAAATGGCATGAACATCATCTTACGGAGCTCCGCGCAGGCTTCTCGGATCGGCGCGGGAGCCCCCTGGCGGCCCCTCCGGGGAGGGGGTCCAGCGCCAATCCAAGGAATTTGTGCGGACCTCCGAACGTCTAGATCTTTGCCATTCTTGTTCCTCCAGAGGCGTGGCTGCGGCAGGCGGAGGAGGCGGAGAAGCTCGGTCTCGGGAGGACGTGCCAGGCCATAGTGAAGGCCGTCATGAGAGTGGACACGGACGCCGACGACGAGTCCATGCAGCACGTGTGGACGAGGGAGGCCCGCGCGGCTGCTGGCCGGGGTGCCGTGGAGGTGGCCAGGGCCATCTACTGGAACGGCCTCGCACAGAGAAAGGGGGACCCCACGCTCTACTGGCAGCTGCAGGAGCTGGAGGCGAGGTGCCCCGTCTCGCCGTCGCACTGCGCGGCTCGGCCAGGAGCTTGGTGAGGGGCCGGGGCTCGCTTCACCGGGCGGGGCGACGCCGATCGGCGCGCGCCGCCTCGTTTTCCCGCACATCCCGAGTGTGTCTGTGTTGTTGTTGGTGAGACCCCTCTGCCTCACTCCTGCCACCTCCTCACTCAGATTGGCACTCGGGCTCGCTCAAACTCGGGCTCAGTCGTATTCACACCACCCGTTCATATTCAGACTCACCCTCACTTTGGTCACTCAGACCACTCATACTCAGTCTCACGCAGATTCAGACTCATCATGCACAAATCACTTGTACGTAGATCGCTCATACTCAGACTAATTCGTAATCGCATTCGCTCTCACACACCCACTCATGCGCAGACTCTCGCACACTCTGAGGCATTCATTAACACACAAACTTCTATATCCGCACCCATACCCAATCACATTCATGTGATGGAGTTTCTGAGAACTCACGTCATCCTGGCCCCCCGCGCGCGAGAAAGCATCCTCCCGGCGCACCCTTGGGCCCATTTCTGGGGATGCGCTGGGCGCACCGGGCGTGTCCCAATCCGGCGCCCTCGCTCGAGAAATCCTGGCAAAAATCCCCCCACGGGCCCCCAGCGCGCCCCCTGGGACCATTCATGGAGATGCGCTGGGCGCTCGAGACATGCGCGCAACAATCCCCCCCTGGGCCCCCACCGTGCCACTTTGGGGATGTGAGTGGAGAGTTCGGCGAGCGCTGCGAGTCGTCAGATCAACTTGCAGCTGATACCCAGAGCATGGTGTGAAGGAGAGAAACCACCAAGGTCGACGCGAGCAGATTGCTACACATCACGCGGACCACCCAGACGACAACCTCAAGATGGTGATCGTTTCTTAATTCATCGTTTTGCCGATCGGCGCGGGCCCCAAACCCCCTCCCGAGTGGATCTTGTTTTTTTTGCGCCTGTTTCGAGCGGGTGGAGTCTCCCCCAAAGGCGGCACTCTGGCAACCCGTCGCATTAAGCAGAGGTCCAGGGACAGACCCCCCCCCTCCCCCCCCATCCGCCCAATGTCGGCACGCGGAATGAAAAAAACTCACATGACGGTGCGCCTGACGCAGGGCAAGACGAGCAGGTTGCGCACCGTGAAAAGTTCCACGCCTGCTCAGCGAGCGCTGGGTCGACGGCCCCGCGATGAAGGGTGGCCTAGCGGACGAGCCCGCCACGACGGGTGACATGGCGAGCGCGAGGAGGCGTTTAACAGGGGCCTGGAGCGCAGGCGGGATACTTGCAAGGCATTCCTGGCGCTTCGCGTGGCGCGCGCAGTGCGAGAGGCGCTGGCAACAAGGAGCTGGGCCCTCTCGACAGAGTTCCAGTCCGATCGGCGAAGGTGAGAGCGACGTCGTCAGGAGCTATTCGAAAGGACCCTTCGCGGTGACGCAGGTCGAGTTCGCAGACGACCTAATCAAGCTTAGGCAATCAGTGGTATGGTGCGTGTGTGGTAACACATTGCTCAGGACGACGCGCGAGCAGCTGAGAGCCGAACTACCGGAATAACGACGCGAACGTGAAAACGTCGACGAGGTCAACGGATTATCTTTATCGGCGTCAGCAGGAATTCTCTATGATCTGAGCTCCATCAGCGGATCGATCAAGTGCATGGACTACGTGGGCGAGCCGATGGGCCGAGCGGAGAATGATGTGGACACCCAGACGGCGTGGACGTGGACCCCAAGAGCGTCGACGCGGTCGGCAAGGTGGAGGAATCGAACGGCGACGGGATGCGCGACGTCGGCGACCAGAGCGAGACCGAGGAGCTGGACGTGCGTCGAGAGCAGGAGGTGCATCCAGTGCGTGATGTTCCAGGAGACGGGGCGTGAGCAGCGTGCGCCATCGGGGGCTAGGGCGGCCTTTTCAGCGGCAGGCGGCACCGCCAGAGCCAGGAAGCCAAGTGCCAGCCCCCACAGACAAGCGGATGCCATCGAGTAGCAAGAGACCGTTCCGGAGAGAAACGCACAGCGGAACAAATCCCGGGATGAATTGCTGAAGAGCATCGCCGCGGCGTCCAGAATGTTGGACGGATTGCGACCGTTGGTCCACGCCCTTGGAGGTGCCGACGACCGCAGGCGACGACGGAAGCGACGAGTTGCTGCCGTTGTAGAAGGACGAGGAGACGATTTACCTGGCGAGCGCGGCGAAGAGGGGCGCGATCGTGGAGGCCAAGCTGGCAGACGACGAGAGGAGGCAGTTTGATGGAGAGAAGGCGACGGCGCTCGCGCCATGGATCTAGAACCAGGCCTGGCAATTCGTCAACGGGGGGTCAGCGGACGCAGGAGAGGCGTGTCCGATGCGGAACGGCATTCAAGAGGCAAGCGCGAGGGTGATCCTGCAGGGTATCCACCTTGACGAGGTGACGAGCACGAAGGTCGAGAAATCGAGCCCGACGCTGACGAGGTTGGTCACGTATCTCTTCCTGCCCATCTTGTTCTAGCCATCTTGGAAGATGGCAGCGGCGGGCGTCAAGGGCGCGTTCCTCCCGTCCAAGGGCAATCGAGCAGATGGCGTGGGGATCATTAGCGGGCCTGCGAGGGGCGTGCGGCGGCGCATGGCCAGAATGATGGGAATGCAGGATGGCGATAGTCTCCGAATGTTAAAGCCCGCGTTGGGTGACGCCCGACCGCCGAGTCAACGGCGTGTGCGGGGCAAATGTTGTTTCCGGTGCGCGTTGCGATGAGGGGCGACGAACCGTTCCGGTCCTGGGGCGCGGACAGCGGCAACCGCTACATGTTGGGTGGCGTGCCGGGCCTGCGCGCGGGCGACTTAGTCGGCAGCGGCGATGACCTCGAGTGCGAGAGCCATTTGGTCGACGAGCAGACCTGCGACGGCGCGTTCCTGGACGGGGTGCAGACGGGGGGCCCGCGATTCTGGCTCGGCAAATGTGAGCTCATGGAGGGCGCGCGGTCATGGTGGAGGCGTGCGCTCAAGAGGTCAAGCCGATCGGCGTTGAGAAGGAACGCCGGGCGCGCGCCGACGACTTGCGCGTCGAGGAAAATCAGCCTCTATGCGGACTGAGCGGGGACCATGCAGTGGCCGGCGTCGCAGCGCATGGCGCCGGGTGCAAGCGGCGGCTGCGATTTCATGTTCCCGCGGCGACGTGATCAAGGCGACCGTGAACAGTTTGGAGGCCGGCGAGGCGCTGCGATTCCAGGCGGCGAGTGGGGGCGGTGGCGTGTGCATGCGATGCGTTTCCAAGTGTGAGAAGCTACGTTTGGAAGTCTACTTGGGCGCGTTGTTGTCCGCGGGGCCGAATGGGGAGAGCCGGGCCACGTCGCACTCGCGTTCGAAGACGACCAGATCGACGGCGGGCAGTCGACCCGCATGGTGGTCTTAGATTGGGCAAGCAAGCAGCTCGCGCGGATCTGTCGAAGTTCCCTGGCAGGCGAAGCTCGCGCAGCGGTGAATTCGACGCGCTGGAATTCACCCAAATGATGGTTGCGGCGATGCTGTTCCGCGACTTGCAGGTCGTGGCATCGGAGATGCTGCGGGTGCTTGGAAGGGGCCCGTGCGTCGTGGACTGCAAGGCGCTGTGCGACGCCAAATCGCGGGAGGCAGCAGGGGGCGCGCCGGGCGCAGGGCCGGCGTCGAGATCGTGCAGGGGGGCGAGAAGATGAAGGAGTCCAACGGTCTATGGCGCTGGACAAACACGTTCCAGCCCATGGCGGACGGGTCGCCCCGTTGCATGTGCGGCAGCAGTGCGTGAAGGCGCTAATGTGCGACCCGACTTTCACGTTGGAAGAAACGTTCTCCCGTCCGATCAAGCGAACGCAGAGCGTGAGCTCAACGTGGGGGCCGCAGACTTCGACGGGGCGAACGCGATCGAGGCTGGCGCGCGCGAGGGCGTCGGGGCGAGTGCCAGCTGCGCGGATCGTGGCGCTGTTTCTAATCATTATGATTATCACGCTGGCAGGGTGCTGTTGTGCAGTGGCAGGTGTATGATTGATGAATATTTACAGGCGCAAGGGGGGCGGCCGTGGGAACGACGCAGCTGACGTTCCAGCGGGGGCCCTTGCGAAAATGGCAAGAAAGGCGAGCACC